TTTTTTTTTTTTTTGTAAGAGTTTCTATTTCTTTTAGACTTTTTAAGCCGAATCTATTTATGTTTTGTAGAAGGATGTTCTGGATTAGTTAAGGGGACCGTGAATGAGCTGTGCATTACTAGCATGGTGTAAAATGATAAAAAAAAGAAAAATCTGCAGCTTTGTTTGGTCACATCCAGATGAAATCACTGATCTAATGTTGAAGTCAATGAATCATTGATTTCTGCATGCAGGTTCTGATTTGTTAAAAATAAAGCTATTTTATGCACATAACCAAAGGTGTCTTGAGCATTTTCTTCCATAGAAATCCTCAAATGTTGCATCACTATATTTCTTAAGACATGGTTAAGGATCATTGGACATTTAAGCTGTAATGCCAAGTAGTCCTTCCTCTTTAATGCACACCTGAATCAAGTTAAGAATTAGTTGCATGGTATAGAAAGGCACTGAAACTAGACACTAGATAGAAAAGGAGAGTGTATGAAATCAGAAACGCTTCAGTTTACACATGAGCCGAGTAGATGAGTTTGAAGCTGTGGTTTGGGTTCAGACATTGAGGATCAGTGTTTGTTTTGTTTTGATGTTTTGTTTGTCAAGAAAAAAAGGTCTGGTTTTTATTCATCTGTTATTTTGGATACTCCATGCACAATATTTTGGGATTAGTTCTGCAAAAGTGCTTTTGCTATGGTTCTTTAAAACTGAATATACTTGAGCCACCATTGTGGTAAGAAGAGTATCACGGTTTTCACCAACATATTAAGCAGCACAACTGTTGATAATAGCACTGACATAAGAAATGTCTCTTTAGTGACAAATCAGCGTATTAGAATGATTTCTGAAAGATCATGTGACCCTGACAACTGGAGTAATGATGCTGGAAATTCAGCTTTGCATCACAGGAATAAATTACATTTTAAAATATATGCAAATAGAAAATATTTTATTTAAATTGTAATATTATTTCACAATATTGCTATATTTTACTGTTTTTTTTTTTGTTTTTTTTTTGTAGGTAAAAAATATATTTTCAATATCTTTTTAACCCCTAATGAAACGTATAGCAACTCGAAGGTCCTTATACAGTGAAAATTCTTTATTTACAGGCTCTTGGTGAAGCTCAAGTGTGAAGAACCTGTATGTTTGAGTGTGTACTAAAGGGCCTTACGCAGGGCTTTGGTTTGGTTTGCATTTTGCTTGTACATGAACTTGTTTGTGATAGATGAACTTTGAATAACGGGACAGTCTTTAATATGTAATCGAATTGCTTCAGTGTTAACCTGGGAATTTCCACCTCTAGAGAAATGACTGTAAGCAGGTGTGTGTGTGTGTGTGTTTATCCAGCATGCTGATGCCTGTCTGCTTTGCTAACAAAACATATGAGCATACCAAGAGAATAAAGACTCTTAGTTTTCTTTTAGGATTGAAGGATAAAAATACAAAATTAGAAACATTGACAGGATTCTTTAACCTAGGCCCAGGCTTAATCATGTGGCAAAAACAAATACAGTGGCTCCAAAAAGTATTCAACCACGCTTCTTTTCATATGTGTGTTTGCACTTTTTTTTTAAAAGAGATAGTTTACATAAAAATTAAATTCATACAGTTTTGAAACAAGTTGGTGGCGAGTAAATGACAGAATTGTCCTTTCATTTGAAAATATATGCTATTTGGTTTGATATTTTGTTACGCAATGATATTTATATATTTTTAAGCTTGATATAGAGGCTAAATACTTAATTTTTAATTTTTTTTAAGTAACCATTTTAAGTGATCATCTGTATGATAATGCAACATTAAAATGGTTAATGACAGGGCGTGTTGAACGCATGCCCTCTCTGACCTCACACTTTCAGTTTATAGACCTGAATGAGTCTAAGAGAAACGAGGTAAATTCAGCACAAACAGCTGGTTAAGACATTCAGGAAAACCAACTAAAACTTGTTTAGTAACACAGATATGATTAAATGTCTTGCATGGGGAAATTCCCTTGTGTTTGATAATATCTGGCAACGTTGTGCTGTAAAAATATCTTAATGCAGATAGAAACTTTGACTGTTTCCATGATGAGTTTATCTTTTATCTGCTGGGGAAAAAACATCATGCCTCCGGTTACAGGTTGAATGGACTACACAAGAAAGTATATTGTGCTTTTTTTTTTTTTTTCCTCATTGTACATGGAACAGTTTCATCATTAACACGCACACATTTCCTGCTGCGCATTTGAATGTGTATCAGAAAAACATGTTCAAACTGTCACGTATTACGCCATCCTATTGGAAGATGAATGGTGCCTTTTCACTTTCAACTACAGACCGGGTTTGTTTACGCAAGAGGTGGAGCAAAAGACTGGAGAAAACGACCGTTTGTCATATAAACGCTCTTTATAATTTGCTAAGTGTTTTTCTCATTGCTACTAGTTCAGCTCATTTTAAAGTAACTCCTACATTTAGATCAAACATAAGGAAGACCAGAACTAGTTGTCACTAAAATCTCAGTAGCCTAACTAAGATTATTATGAGTCACAATTCCACAAATAAGAGTCTGTAACTACATAATGACAGTAGTTTTTAACAGATTAATTCTTAGGACAAGGGTATTCTTAAATAATGTCAGGTTGGGACAAGTTGTCACATGGGGAATAAAAAATGTAACCAAAATATAACATAAAATGCTTAGGAATTACAACAATTTTTATACACAGTCCCCCCATTTTCAGGAGCAAATTTAATTGGACAAATAAATATAATCATAAATAAAATGTTCATTTTTTATATTTTGTTGAGAATCCTTTGCAGGCAATGACTGCTTTAAGTCTGGAACTCCTGGACATCAGCAGCGACTGGGTTTCCTCTTTTGTGAAGCTTTGCCAGGACTTTACTGCAGCTGACTTCAGTTGTTGTTTGTTTGTGGGTCTTTCTGCCTTTTTTAATGTTTTTTGGCAAAGTCTAGCCTGTGTGTATCACAGAGCTATGATAATATTCAATTTCTGGTCGACATGAGTAACATGTCAGACAAGGAAAGTAGCCTAAACAAGACAAGCAAACAAAGATAGGACTGAGCAGTTCCAGTGTACAAGGATGTTGACCTTGTACATCTTTAAAGGCACTGCAGGCAAAACGATTAAAATGCTAAAAATATTTTGAGAGGATAAATGGATGCCACTCGCTGAGTTAAACAAGGCCATGAGGTCGCATGACCTCAATGTAGTGTGCATTGCATACGGTTTCACATGCTTTTAAAGTAGAACGGTACAGCAGAATACAGTATTTAGGGAGCAGTACACTAGTGTTCATATCAAACACTATAGAAACTTGGTTCATATTTGAACACAGCCGATGAGCTTTTGAAAAGTTGCCTCTTACTGCCACCTGCTGGTTCGTTGAAGACATTAAAGTAAATCCGTCTTAGTCCTTTCTAGATCTTCTGTAAATTTACAAGTGTCGTGTTTTTCTGATTATATCAATCACAAATGGCCATTTTAGAGACATTTTTAGAAATCGGTATATTGTTACATTGAATTAAAAGACCAAAAAATATAGCACAAGGCATTTTCTGCAAAGTAGTTTTTGAGGATTTTTAACAAACGTCAGTCTGTTTCACATGCTATCATATCGCTTCAGAAGATTTTAAATCGATTTGATTTTGCACGACACATGAACCACTTTCGTTATACCGGAATAACCGTAATAACTGTAATAAAACTAAAACAATTAATGGGAAATAAAACGTTATCAATAACTAACCCAAACTACCCGTCTTCCCCATTTTTGATTATGTATACATGTTACGTATTTTTATGATATAAAATGTCTCTTCGTTTAGATTGTTATAAAGTGTTTAAACCCCCACAGACGTTTGAATTGAAAATGTAGTAGCCTACCTTCTTTCTTCCTTTGTTTTTTTTTTTTAAAGTAATAGCCTGAATTGTCCAAGTGGGGGCAATGTTGCATTTTTTTGTCAGTCTGTCATTGTGAAAAGTCTTTCAGCAGCTCAATCAATCGTCTGTTTGAATAGTGTGGCCCACATGTTTGAATGAACAACGCTGTTTCCACAACACACTCATCATGCTGTCAGTGAGGAGAACAAGCTGCAGTTAAAACATGGATACACAGACACCTAAAGTCGTGATTGCCATCTGGAAAAGTCAATGAAAAAGACTTTTTTTTCTTTTCTTTAAACTTCACTTGAGTTGATGAAGCACAGCACAGCACAGCACAGGTGGAGTCGAGAGCACATGCATATTCGCAGAATGTCGAAACTGTGGCTTCTCCAGAACAAGAGGCCTTTATATTACGTTTGTCCACGACTGCACCTGAGAATGGTTTTGCAACATCTAACACCTCGACAGCTGCACATTTCTCTGCACAAAGATAGCAGCGTAGCAGGCAATCTGAGGGAATGTAAAGGGGGTCAAAGACGTACAGTTGGGCCCAAATATCAGCCAGCGCAGTGGACAATAAAAACTAAAATAAATTGTTACAATTATTTCAGCATTAAAACAAACATTATGATATAAAATGTTTATTATTAATAAT